GGGGAGTTGCTCCTGCTGGGCCTCAAGGACCGAGAGGTACGAGCGGGGCTGGGGGCGGCGGCGCGGGGCCCGGGCTGCCAGGGGGACGCCCGGCCTCCGGCCCGCGCACCTGCCTTCTTCGCTCCCGAGCCCCGCGCCCGGGGCCGCCCAACTGGCCCAGAGTGCGTTGCCCCGCTGCCCGGCCCGGTATTTCCAGATTCTCCCCCGTGCAGATTGCTTGGATACCTCCCCCCCGCCACTCTTTTCATTTTGACACTCTGGCAGTCTGTATTTCTTCCTCGCTTTTTCCCGAGTGCTTAACCTGTGTAGACCCCCGAGTGCAGTTCCAGCCGGGAGACTGCCCCGTACACTGGAACGTCTGGAATTACCAGCGCACAGAACCCTTGGGGTTGGCAGGTTTTAGGACCTCGGAGGGGTCCACCGATCTGCTTGCTGGGGGATTATGAAAAATTTCGGTGAAATGGTAATGGAGGAAAAAGTTATCTTACTAAATAAAGTTAAAAGTCAAACAAAATTCTCGTGGAACTTGGAAAATGACATTCTAGGTGAACTTGCTTTGGGTGAGAGATTACTTTTAGTATCACCTTTAATAAATTTGATTCGTTGACTATTATCAAGGTCTTGCCATCTTAAGGAAGGGCTTTTCCGTGGAGTGCTTGACATGCTAGGTTTGTGATTTGATGAAAGGTCTCAAAGCTTTAGGTGGGTTATAGTTGAGATAAATAATTCTTTGTGTTCTGACTTTGAAAACGATTGTTTGCACTCCAGTATCCAGAATTTTCACACTTAAAGTAGAAAACAAGTTACAGTGAACACCCACATCCTAGAGTCTGTAATTAACAGTTTGCTAAATTTGCTTTATTACAAATCCTTCTGCAAAAATGGTTATTTTTAAAGACAGAGACCTGCAGATGGGCAAATGAATGGATACTCTATAAATCATGTGTGGTAAGGTGGTGCCAGAAGCTTGTTTTATCTCAGCAGGGAAATTACAGATAGCATGTTCTGAGAGTCAGACACAAGAGTATCTAAGTTTTGATTTTTTTTTTTTTTTTTAAAGATGACCGGTAAGGGGATCTTTACCTTGACTTGGTGTTGTCAGCAGCACACTCACCCAGTGAGCCAACCAGCCATCCCTATATGGGATCCGAACCCGTGGCCTTGGTGTTATCAGCACCGCACTCTCCCGAGTGAGCCACAGGCTGGCTCCCTAAGTTTTGATTTTGAGAAAGTTTTCAGATTCAGGAAGGTGGGCAAAACCCTTTCATCTGTATAAAACAACTTACTCTTCCTGGCTCACCAAAACTTAGGATATAGATGAGTTTTATATGGACTGTTTTTGGACTCCTGATGTTTGGTAATCTAATGAATTAAAGTTTGCCTTTATAGAAATGTCTAGGGCATCTCTAGTATCTTGGTTTCACATTTCTCAGGTCTTCATAAAAGTTGATGTCCCTCTGGCTGTGAAAGAAGCCCATTACCTGTTTACTGAGTTGTGATGATGAAAAGAAACTGTATGTGAAATTCCTTTTTGTTCTTTGAATGAGAAAACAAACTAGACGTTAGAGTCCTAGTAATGTGATTTTAGAAAGGAATCAATTTGCTTTACAATTTGGAGTCTTGGTAATAAATATTTTTCTTTAAGTCTTTTTTCTCTTTTGGAGCATAGGTAACACAGATTACTGTAGACATTTTAGAAAATACAAAAGAAGCAAAATGAAGAAAATATATTCCTGATTGAACATGATGGTTTATGCTTTTTGTGACTTTCCTGTTTGGATAAAACTGTGTAAAATTTAAAAAAAAAAAAAAAGAACTAAAACAAGAACTAACTTTTCGTGTTCTGAGTCACACTAAGTGAGAAATTATGGTGAGAAAGTACCTTTCTATTTTTTCAAGTATCTGTTACTCTTAATATTTAAGCTAAAGCATATTAACATGATATTTCCCTGTGATTGGTTCTCATGAAGATGATCTAAAGAATTTGTTGAAAGTTAGTGGTACTTACGCAATTTAGACAATTTAAAGTTCTTTGGCAGATAATTGAAACCATCTGTTGTGTTTATTTTGTGTCAGAAGTTGCTCAGTATACTTTGCAAGTCATGGACAAGGTCCAGACACTAGCTAATTCTGAGCATTTCTTGCTGATTTCAACAACCACACAGGGAAAAAATTTTCCCCCTTTTGTAGCCAAGTCCAGGGAGTTGGGGGTGGGGGTGAGGCTGGGATTTTGCGTTGTTTTAGATTTTGGTTTTAGGGATTAGCCTACATATTTTTTTCATCACACCTTTACATCCTAATAACCAGCCCTGTAAATTCATCCATTCATATGTTTTTCTCCTTTGAGGGATTCTCCTTCTCCCCATTATATATTGTATCACTTTTTAGGGGGCAGGAGTTGCTCTCCTACCCTGAGCCTAGGCATATATCCTTGTTAATATTTGATTTCAGTATACTAAATCTGATATTAACAAGTTCCAAACTTTAGTCATTAAATTCACAGCTTTAACTTAGTATCCATCTTTGTAATATCTGGGTACTCTTAAGATATTTAAAAGTTAAATTTTAAATTTAGGCAAGTCATTAATGTTGGACATAGTTTATGTATATATATGAGCTAACTTTATCTGAAATCAAAACAATCAAAAAATTTTAAGAAATTGCTAAATGGTGAAATTAATTTTTCTTTGTTTTTTTTAAAAAAGACCAGATACTTATTAATTTATATTTTTTGGCTTCTAAAAAATTTTCTGTTGGAGAATAATATAAACCTGCAGAAAAGTACACATAAATATGATGAATTTTCACAACCTGAACACACCTGTTAAATAAGCACCTAGAGCAAGAAACAGAACATGACCAGCTCTCCAGAAGCACCATTTGAATTTCTTTCCAGTCACTACCCATTCCTCAAGGGTAACCACTAGTTTAACTTTAGAATTCAGCATAGATTAATTTTGCCTAGTTTTTGTATTTTTATTTGTGTCTGGCTTTTGTCCAGCATTGTTGTGAGATTCATCCATATTGTGTGAGGTTGTCATTTCTTCTTACTGTCTTATCAATTTAGTTTAACACATTTATAATCTGAAATGTTAAAAAAATGACTTTGACATAATTCTGAATTGAGCCTCCCTCTCTCTTTTACTGAACAAAAGGTTCAGTTTGCCAGTAAGCAGATGGTCTGGCTTCAAGTTACCTATTAGGGGTGGGTCTAAAGTCATTGCCATTGATTTTTTTTCCTGAAGTTTAAGTACACATTTCAGATTTTTACCAGTGATTTTACTTTCTGGCTTTTATTATGAACACTGATGCCTGGGCCCCTCAGGGGATTCTGATGCTCACTGTGGATGGAGACTCAATGACACAGGTATTTAAGTAACTCTTCAAAGGCCGCAGCAAGGATGGCAGATAGGTTTACACTTGAGTTCAACTCCCAAATAATTAGCAAGATTTCTGTAATTGCTGCTCCGTTTGAGGGCAAGGGGCAGTTTCCTTTCCTCATATGTTTGTTTTTTCCATAGATGCCTCCAGGAGAGCATTTTCAGATTGTTTCATTGAGAATTAACTCAAATAACTGGTGTCATATGCTTTTGAGTGGCATCTTAGTCTTTTAAAGTTGGTTTATTTTATTTATTTTTGGATTGGATTATTTTAAGTGGCCAGATATGCCTATGGAATAGCGGAAGTGGAGAGAGGCTTGGTCCAGGGCGTATCCTTTGTTTTACATATTATTTAAGCTTTTTGAGCCTCTGAGTTCTCATGTAAAATGGAAAAATAGTCACCAAAATGGTTGTTCTGACTGTACTCTTGCGGACATTTATTGTCTCTAACTTTCTATCGTGTCTTCCCCCTATTTTGTCTTACTTTGGAGATCACCATTGTGTGTATGTAGCCTTAGGATGCTCTCTTGAACATCTTCTACCCTTTTGTCTTGTAGCCAGGCTTAGACTGGTCCAATCACATGTTTTCTCTTGGGGCTTTGGATCAATCTTGAGACTGTAACAGGCTGTAGGGTTTTTTGGAGACCTTTTCAGAGTAGTGTCACTGTGTGGCTCAGACTGTCCTCTGACATGGTTCTTTGAGCTTCTGTCTCCCTAGTCATTGGCGTTGTCTTTTCTCAGCCTGATTTTCCAGTCACCTTTCAATTTTGTAAGTTTCAACAACTTTCCAGTAAATCCCTTTTTAAAGATAGCCAGAGTCAGTTATTAATGTTTCTAATGCTTGTAGACAAGAACTCTAATATAGTGACTTTCTTAACTTCATATACTTGAGCTGGATATTATACATTTTAGGGTAAAATAACAAGTTTAACTAAGATGATGGAACGGACTTTTGTGTGGCTTTTACACTGGCCACACAAAAGATGCGTTCCATTTTTTTTTGTCCTTTTTGTGACCGGCCGCACCGCCCTCAGCCAGTGAGCACATCGCACCGGCCATCCCTATATAGGATCCGAACCAGCAGCGGGAGAGCTGCTGCGCTTCCAGCGCCGCACTCTCCCAAGTGCGCCACGGGCTAGGCCCTGCGTTCCATTTTTGAAATAAGTTTCCTGCGGTCACTACTTTGAAATAAAGTACTTATCAAGATATATAACTTTGTTTTTTGAAAAAATTTCCTTTCTGTATATTCGGCAATGTACACCATGTCTACATATAAAATCTAAATGAGAAATTCATTCAACAAATAGTCAGAATTTCAAGATGTGCTTGATTTTTAGTAATTTAAAATGTAATAAAGGCTTCTGAGTTTTGAAAGAATTTTGTGATTCCTTTTGTAATACAAATAATGTTTCCTTTATGTTTTTGAAAGATTTGAATTTTCATATTTTTTTCAGGTGTGTAAACACAAGTATGAGACATATGAGATCTCAGAAATTAGTTTTGGAGTTCATTGAACCATTTGATTGTACCTTTTAAACAAGATTTTATACTGTTGAAATTACTTTTTAGTGCTTCAGGATTCTTTCGCTGCGTGGCCAGAATATTCACTGACTCATAAGTGATACTAATATTTGATATGTATTAATTTTAGACTTT